AGTACCTTATTTATTAAAAAAAATATAGTCTAAAAAATAATATATAGATCTGCTTATTTAATATTAATATACCTAATCTTATTTAAATTTTTAAATATTATAAATAGTTGCTATATTAATATTTATTTGTATATTTATTTTTTTTATATTTATAAATATTAATCTTTATATTTTTTATTTTATATATTTTTTATATTTTTAAATATCTTACTATTTTATATATTTTATTAATTGTAATTTTATGTATTTTTATCTATTATAACTTTTATCTATACTTATAGTATTCTATATATCTAATTATAATAAAAATATCTATCTTAAAATACAGTATATATAATATTTAAAAAATTAATATTTATTATTAATAATATTCTACTGTTTATTTATTCTCTGCTTTTTACACCGCCTTTGTGGCAGAACTTCCTACACCTTATATTTTTACCCTTTTAAACTCTTTTCTAATTTAATTATTATAATTAATAATATTATAAACTTTGTTTATCGCCATAGCAATCTTTACAGTCCCTGTAGTTTTTTTTTATTTTATTTAAAGTACTTTTTTTATAAGATTATTTTTTTTTACAGCAGTTAAAATAGCTTTTATATAAAATTAATAAATAAATTTTTATAGTATATATTTTTTTATAATTATTTTTATTATTTTTATATAAAGTTTTAGCTAGTTTAGATCTACTGTAGTACTTTTTACTAATAGTATTCTAATTTTTATAAAAATAGCTATACCTCTTTTTAGATTTAAAAAATTATTTAACTATTATAGTATTATTTTTTTTTAATTTTTTATAGTTTTTTTTATAGCCTTTTTTTTATAGTTAAATTATTATAATAGGGTATCTGCTGGATTCTGTAAATCTAGTTTATATATTAAAAAATTTAAATATTATAAAATATTATACTTATCTAATTTACTTTTATAATAATTTTTTATTAATTTTAAAATATTTAAAATTTTTATAGTTTATAACTACTTTTATTAGATACTTTATATTCTTAAGCTAGTATTACTACTTTTTAAATAATTTTATAATTATAAAAAGCTTTTAATTATAAATACTGTAGTTCTGCTTTATAGAATTTATTTTTTATAAATAAAATACTACTAGTTTTTATTAGCTTTTTTAGTTTTTTTATAATAGTATTTTACTAATTGCAAAGGCTAAGGTATTTTTTTTAATTTATAAATTTTTTTTAAATATAGTATAACCATATTTTTTATAAATATATTTTTTAGTTTTTAAAAACTTTTGTAGACTTTTAATATTAGAAAACTATATCTAGTTTTTTTTTATATAAAATATTTTAGTAAAGTCTATAATTAGTACTGTAATTTATAAATATTTTTTAATAAAATGATTATACTAATTTATAAAATCTATAAATTTTAATATATTTTTTATATTTTATAGCTTAGACTAATTATAAATAGTTATAATATACTTTAATTTGATATAAATATCTTTACAGCTAAATAAAAATTTTAAAAAATTAATTTTTATCAGTATAAAGTAGTATTTATTTTTAGTATTTTATAGATCTATATTTTATATATTTTTAGGTTTTATAATTATACTATAACATTATTGTAATAAATAATTATAAAGTTATTTAAATATTTTATAAATAAAAAATTTATAAAATTTTAAAATTCTGTAGATATATTAGTTAGTTTAAATAGTATAACCAGATATTTAAACAGTTTATATTTTATTTAAAATACTGTTTTTTATTTATTTATTTTTATAATTCTAATTTTATAGTAGACTTTATATAGATTTAGCTGTATAAACTAAAAAGCCTCTATAAATTAGTTAATATATTTATTAATCTACAGTAGTAGATAAATATTTTTTATTATTTATTTATTTAATTTATAATAGTTTATATATATTTATAGGCTTTTTTTTATAGGTAATATTTTATAGTTTTTTTATATTATTACTAAATGAAAATTTATTTTTATAAGATTTTTTAGTATAATTTTTACTACTGTAACCTATAGTACTCTTAGTATATAATATTTATAAAACTAAAGTTTATACTTATTAAATTTTATAATAAACTTTTATTATTTTATTTAAAGTATTTTTAAAATTATTTTATCTATTTTTATTATTATAAATATAAAATCTATTTAGTTTTTATAATATTTTAAATATTTTTTAAATATACTGTAAATACTATAATTTTTTAAACTATATATTTTTTTACTTTACTTTTTTTATAATTATTTTTACTAAAACAGTTAGCTATTTTACTTATTTAATAAATATTATAAATAGTAGATTTATTTCTACTTTATTATTTATAATAATATTAATTTTTATAAAATATTTTTTTTATAAAAAATTAGCTAATTTTTTAGTTTTAAGCTAAAATAGATTATAATTTTAATTTAGTTTAAAGTAGATACTACAACTCTATTTATTAGTTATTTTATAAATAGTTTAGTTAATTAATAATTTTTTATTTAGTAATTTATTTATTTATAATTATAGTAAGCTTTTAATTCAGGGGCCTCTGCAGATGCTTATAGTATTAAAAAAATTATTTTAATTTTTAATTTTTTTTTATAAAACTATTAATTTAGATTTTTAGTTTTTAGATATTATTTATAAGAGCAGTAGGCCTATAACTTTTTTTTAAAATTTATTTATAATATATCTTATTTTTTATTTATTTATATTATTAATTTAATACTAGGTATAACTTTATAAGTAGTATAATAAAATTTTATTTAATTATAAAAAATCTGCTGTTTACAGATTTTTTTAAACTATAAAAAAAATATAAAAAATAGGTACAGCTATACAGTATTAATATTTTATACTTTATAATTAAATTAATTTTTATTTTTTTTATTTTTATAATTAAATTAATATTTATTTTTTTTATTTTTATAAATAAATAAACTTTAGTTTTTTTTTGCAAGGCTTAGCCTTTAGTATTTTTAACTAAACTTTTTACTATTTATTTACAGAATTTGTAACTATATTTTAAAAAATTTATAAAAGCTAATTTTTTTTTATAATAAAATTTAGCTGCTTTATTTTTTCTATAAATTATTTAAAATATAATCTAAATAAACTATTATAATATATTTTTTTTAATTTTTATTTAATAATAAATATACAGTAAATAGTATAGTTATAAATACTATATTAGTTTTTATTTATAAATAAACTAATATATATACTAGTTTTTTAATTTTTATAGTACTGGAATTAAAATTTTTTAGATTTTTATATAAATATTTTTTATAGTACTAATTTCTAACTATTTTTCTAGATTAGTAATTTATTCAAGTAAATATAAATATTTATAAAAATTTAAAATTAAAATTTATATATTTTTTTTAATATAAATAATTTATTTTTTATAATTAATATATAGTTTTTTATAATTAAATTAAAAAAGTTACCCTTAATATAGCTTTATATATTATATTTAGCTATTATTTACTAGATTATTTTACAAAATATTAAATAATAAGATTATAAAAACTAAAAAATAAAATAGTATAATAAATAAATAGCTTTTATAAAGCTAAAAGTATTAATATATTATTTTAAAATATTATTATTATTTTATTTAATTTATAAGACAGCTGCTGCTTTTAGGGGCGGCTGCAGCTGGTTTATTTAGCTGTTATATAACTACTACTTTAGATTATTTATATACATTTTTCTTTACAGATATCTGTAAAGATTGGAAGGGCTGTTTGGGCCCTTACAATATCTATACTTAGTATAATACATATTTTTTATTTTTTATACTAGATTAATTAGTTAAAATATTTAAAAATATTAATTTGTATATTTTAATATACTAGTCTATATAAAATCAGCTATATAAAACTAATCTATATTTTATACTAATTAATATTATATTAATACTATAGATTAATTTAATAATAAAAAAAACATAGACTATTAGTAGTATAATTTTTTATTTTACTTGAAATAACAGCTGTTATTTTAAATATAAATACTAATTATAGCTGTTATATATTTCAAAATATTATTTTATATTTAAATACTATAAAAAATAGCTGCAGCTAATTTATATTAATTTTTTTTATATTTTAATAATAATTTAAATAATAAAAATAGCTGGTTAACTATATAAATATTTTATAAGTTTATTTATTAGCTGTACTAATACCTTTAAAAGTTTTAAGTATATTATATATATATTACTATTTTAGGCTTTTTTTTACTTTTATTATTGGTTACTTTTTTATTTATTACTTTTTATATATTTTTTACTTATGAGCTGAAAAAGTATTATCTGTAACTAGTTCTGCTACCAGCAACCGCCTAGTACTTTTCTATTTCTAGTAAAAACTTTATATATTATATATAGTATAGATAGTAGAACTAAGCAAGTATTTATAATCTATTTATTTCTTGCCCTTGGCAACTATCCTTATAGATAATAAAAAGGCAGTTTGGGAAGGTTAGAAGACTAAAGAAAATGTACTAGATGGAAATAAACAGCAGAATATAGACTATACTAAAAACTACCATACTTAGGTCTGCTATATAGATGTTCCTTTGGAGGTGCAAATGTTGGAAGGGCTAGTTGAGCCCTTATATTATACAGTAAAATAAATATAAGAAGAAACTACTCAATATTAGGCTTATCTAATATATGATTTATTCTAGTTATATATTGATCATGTGTGGGGTTGTGTAAGCAGAATAACAACTATCCCTTGTCTGCAACCATACCCCAGGTCCACCTATGCTGCCCGCAAGTAACTCATGACCAGACAACTCTAACAGGGGCGGTAGAATCCCATTGGACGAACTATTTAAGACTGTGGGGGACAATAGGTAATCACCTTTCCAGCGACTGTATTAAATAGATTCCTGTCATACGATCACCTCCACACAATTCTTGAATTCTTAGTATCCCAGATACAGTTTTCCAAGATGCCCTCCCCGGAAGATCAAATTGTCTCCAATGAATTTACTGTGGTAAGTTTGTAAACCTTTCGTCACATTCCCCAGTTCAGCATCAAGTCAACATCCCCAAAAACAACCCCAGCGGCTAATGATACCCAACAGGCCTTCAAAGAAATAGCTAAGTGCGAGCATCGTACACATCAAGCAGTCCTGCGGACACATAACTGATCTTTATTCAACCAGAGGCGAGGAAGCAGCGCTGGGCCTGGAAAGGCACCTGAGTAAACTCGAAACTAGGATTGATGAGGTTTTTCGCCAATGCGTTACTGGTGAGGCTATGTCCTACAGCGACAGTGACATTAGCCAGATGGACACGCATCCACAGCCGGCAGTTGGCAATCAGTCCTCAAACAAACCCGCCAAATGAAATAGACCGTCTGCTGTCTTTTCCATGACCCCCTTCTCTGTTATAATTCCATCAATCAGTGTAGCTGGTGTGATATCAAACGCTGGGTTCCAAACGTTGATTCCCTCTGCAGCTATACGCACAGTCTTCAGGTTTCCGCCCTTAGACGTATCGCCTTGGCAGGGCCCCTTGATTTTAGTAACCTCGTCAGCCGGTCGTTCCTCTATCACAATGTCATTTCCAGATTTGGTCGACAAATCAATTGTGGTGAGTGGCGCAGCAACAAGAAACTTCACACCGTGATATTTTGCCAGGACAGCAAGCCCATACGTCCCGATTTTGTTGGCAGTATCACCATTGGCTGCGACTCTATCTGCACCGACAACGATCGCATTCACCCCAGCCCTGGAATCTGCAAGTAGTGCGGCGGACATAGAGTCTGTTATCAGAGTGGAGGGAATACCATCATGGACCAGTTCGAATGCCGTGAGCCGTGAACCTTGGTTGTAAGGTCTTGTTTCAGTACAGTACGCATGCCGCAAACTATTCATTGATGCCAAGCTGCGGATAACTCCCAGGGCTGTTCCGTAACCGGATGTCGCTAGAGACCTGGATGAATGTTAGAAATTCAAATCCCAATTCTCATCGACGGTAGACTCACCCTGTATTGCAATGAGTCAAAACAGTGGCTCCTGACTGCCCCGCAACCACCGCATTCGACATGATCCACTTGGCGCCATTTTCCCCAATCTGCTTGTTGTCTTCAACATCCTTTACCAACATCGCCTCCGAGGCTTTTATGAAAGAGACGGCGACCCCGTGACCTGTCGCCCCAGGCTGGCTAGCACTCTGAGACACCACGACCTCAAGCTTTCGCGCAGCATCACCTAGGTTGACAGCCGTAGGCCTGCTGCTCACCAGGTATTGCAGCTTCTCTAGAATGAAAACACGAACTTCATCTGCATCAGAAGACAGCCCCTCATTTGAAATCAGTCGGTGAAGCTCAGACGCAAGGGCAAGTGCTGCTACTATAGCGATAGCTGGCGCACCGCGGACTTGCATAGCCTTGATAGCATGCCAAGCCTGCTCACTCGTTTTGATTTCAATATATTCCTCCACATAGGGAAGTTGCAATTGGTCGATAATGGCGAGGACACCGTCTCGATATTTGATCGCTTGCAAAGTCATGATTGCTATATCAACCTCAGAAAAGGATCAATGGACCGTCTTGGTATTTCGAAGTGCTAGGAACGCTACCAATGGAGACCAAGAAAAGACAGGGCGTTGTTGGCTGGACTGTATTGCTCTGATATTTAACCGGTGGGGAAACCCTTCTCATTTGTTTGGAGGCGTGGCTACATGCGCTCTCATTGGTGGGGCGGCGCATGTGGCAAGCAGAAATCTAAGCTGAGCTGAGCCGCCCCTGAGCCGAGCAGGCCGTACCTAGCTGAGTAGGTACTACTCAATCAGTACCCAGGTTAATAGTTTTTCGGCAGCATAATACCCTTCATTTTTCTTTCCATAGAAGTTTTTTACATATTATACACAGTAATAATTCCAAAGAAGAATAAGTAACTTAGCTCTTACCCGTCTCCACCTACTTCTAGTGACTCTCTTATGTAATGAAGAGGTGCACCAGAGGCCGTGTTAGTTGATAATTCTTGGTCTTCGACCTAATTCTCTGAACCTATTGAACTTGATTCGCTAATCTCCATCGGGCACTGTATTAAGGAGCCTGGAGAGGTGTAGGATTTACCCTGTCCGTACAGAAGTTGCACTGGCCTTCAAGCCCGAACCCAATTCTCCAGCCTTCAATTCATTACCACTGTGATTCCTTTCCTTCATGGTTCCCCCACCGCGAGGGTCGAGTAAGGCGATGGTCCCCCAAAACTCGTTGGATTGAATGAAGGACCCGAAAATCCCCTTCGGAGGATCGAGGTGATAAAGGCTTAATTCGTCAATCTGCGGATATGTACAGCACTACTCCATTTGGATCAGGATAAGCATATATAACACCACTGGCTCATGGATATGATTCAAACGAACCATTATTGCCGCGGATGAAAGCATCACCATAGCTTCGTGTTAACCGACCATTCACGAACTCTTCGGATTTCTCCAAAGCTATGTTCATGTAGCCATCTACAGACTGCAGTTCACCTAGGAGATTTTATGTCAGCTTTCAAATGTTCAGAATTTGACGAATTCCTGTAGGTTGTTCGATCTTTGCTACACCCATCCTCGCAAGCCGGGGTTCCACTTGGGATATGTGTGTAGGCGAACAAAGTAGCTCGGGTAGGTACCTTTATAAACAACACCAGAGTTCAATTTAATGGTCACTGGAGCACCTAATATTTCGCCAAGGAAAGCCGAAGGATCTTTCCCTTCAGAAGGTGCACCATTCTCCATCTTGACAGGATTGGTTATAGATAAGTTGGTGATCCTGGAAAGCAACTTTCAGAAGTCTGGGAATCGGCCCCGCTGGCGGAAGAGGGAACATCTAGCCCCCGGCAGCCACCTGCAAGTACTAGTCTCCAAGTTAAGGCACGTGTCTTCTAATCAAACGGCTGATTGTAATCCACCACCTACCACAACAGAATAACGAAAAGTCGCCCTTAGGCTATCACCGCTTTTCTTCTAAAGACCATCGTGTCGACTTCTACTCTGGGCCCTCTGCTCAGTCACCCAGTATCTGCATTCATTACAAGTCCAGAATTTACGGTCGCCAATTCAGAGCCCTTTCGATGCGATCCTTCTTCAACAAGCCGTCTTGGGCAAGCAGGGGAGACGAAACTCAGGATCTCAAGTTTTACCAACATGCTAGTCAAGTGTACAATGATATAGTTTCCGCGAATCAGAATGCGCGACGTGCCAACCATATCCAAGAAACCGAAACCAAACGGCGACGTACACCCACTGAGAATCATGGTGGTGACACATTACCGCTGGGGACCTGCAAACCCTCTGACGAATCTCTCAGTCATCAATCGCCGTCCGATGGCAACGCTTCCAATTGCAGATCTGTACAGCGAAGCGAAGATCAGCTAGACAGCCAAGCATTAGATGCTTTACCGCACGGACCAGGAGTGACAAATCCCAGTGGTGTTGACCACCTGATGCCTGGGTTGGCGTCAAAATCTCGGAACGAGATTGTAACTCCTGACACATCGGCTGTAAAGAATCTTAGTGGAGGCAAGAGAACTTGCATTGGTGACTTTCAATCCTCGAATAGGCTGAGCCCTACCAAACCCCACTTAACTCTCAGCAAGAAGCTTACACCATCCGAAGATACGATAGTCCAGATCCTTATCACCTCGAAAATCAGTAACACCAAGCCGCTCATAGTTCGCCGAAAAATGCACCAGTCACTGAAAGATGTGCGCCTTGCATGGTTGAAACGTCAAGACCTACCGAAGGGACTCGAGTCTTCTATCTTCCTGACTTGGAAAGGGAAACGCCTTTTCGATGTCACCACATGTCGCAGTCTGGGAATTGGACCCAAGGGTCGACGTGCGCTTGGGTCTGTTGCCTGTGACTCTCTACGAAGTGACAGTTCTGACCTGCAAATTCATATGGAAGCCGCTACTGAAGATTCTCTTGATCTTGATAACGGTCAGTCATTGTCTTCCGCCAAGCCAGCGCCAGCGCCAGGTATAGACTTGGACAGCGGCGAGCGATGTTCAAAAGACATCGTTTTGAACGCCCCGGGGCTAGATGATCTTAGATTGAGAGTGAGTCTCCAAATGCAGGTCTCACAGCTGATCCGCCTATTCCGCGATGCAAGACAGATCCCACTGGAGCATGAGGTTTACCTTGTATTTGATGGTGAACGCTTAGACCTCGGACATGCTCTTGAAGACTATGATCTTGCAAATGATGATCTCCTGGATGTAATAGTCAAGTGACAATTTTTCAGTGATCACAAACTTATTTTTCTTATGACGTTTGCACATTCCTTGTATCGGCAATATGGTATAGCACGTGATAAACAAACTCAAGTTGAGAGAAATCGGAGAAACACGTAGTTAAAATGGTGGAAGAATTCTCTTCTCCCGTATTTCATCGGGTCTCCTCAATGTAGATTTAAGCGAGAGAGATGGTCCAGCAATTCATGTATACTGTTGAGAAACAAGCCCAGAATCACATGGGAGAGGCAATTTTCACCTACATTTACAGTATATAGAACATGCGGTAACCTAGTACATAGGAAACTGATAACGTAACCTGGAAACAGCCCGTCCCGGTTTTTCCGCTCACCCAACCAACAGCTAATTGCAAGTCAATCCCAGCTATACAATCATATCGAGGAGTCGCTCAATCATACTCAAACAGCAATGAAGTTGCTTACTGCTAATTTTTTGACCTGTGCTGTCAAGGGCTGCAAAGCAGCAGCGTCGTCCTACCCACTGCATTTTAAGGATGCTGAACTCGAACTACAAGAGATCGACTTTCAGCCGGAATTCATACACAATATTATCCCACGAATTGACTGGGAAGGTCTGCGCGTAATGGCCAATGAGGTATGTGTGCAGGTATTTTCCATAAGAAAAGGTTATTCAGGCCACTTATTCAATTGGCTTAGCTGGGCTTCCCTAAGATCCCTGATTTGAAGCCTGAAGGCGATGCACTCAATGATGAGCAGACAATGAGAGATCTTCACAGACTGCTACTAGAGACGCATGTTGTGGAAGGAAGACTATGCTGTGGCAACTGCGGTCATGAGTATATGATCAAGGAAGGAATCGCTAATTTCCTTCTGCCCAGCCATCTGGGTAAGACAAAAAAAACTCACTCGTGGTAACCCGGGTTTATGCTGACAAGCTTTCTGCTATAGTGTAATTATTCTTTCATGATGCTTCATGCGCTGGTGCTATGATCAAACTGATGTTTGATACCCCGTTTGTATCTGACTGAGCACTTTCCCTGCTGATCACTGAAGAAAAAAACCCATCCTAGCCCGTTCTCCATTAACCATGCATGGATTATGGTTGTTAACGTATGCTACCAGGGATGGCATTTGCTTCACAGCCGATGGGATTGAAAAGGGCCTTGACTACAAGTCGAGCACAGACGCTATTATAATGGACACGACACTACACATTTGATAAGAGCTCTCGGCCTTCGCAATGTACCAGATTGTTCGACCCCATCATATCAAAGCTACTTTATTGTCTATATGAAACGCCGCTACGCGGCAGCTTGGATGTGGAGTTGACCACAAATTCAACTGTGAGAATAGCTCGCATACAGGGTTTTTAGCTTCGATCGAGCCTGCTCTTAGTTGAGAAAACCTTTGCAACCACTGGAACCGCAAAGACAGGGGATCCTGTCATCGCTGTCCCACTCCCTTTCAAACTTGTAGTCATATGTAAGCTCTTCATCTATAATCAAAGTGTCAGCATGTCAACGAAATTGGGGAATGATAATACAAAGCATACCTCTTTCAATGTCCCTCAGGGCATATATGACAATCCTTTTACTTCCATCCACTTTGATGATCTTGGCAGTACAGTTGGGTGTACAGCTGTGGTTGATAAATCTCGCAATGCCTCCTCGCTTCGTCGCGTCGATGACTGTGTTCTCGTCGATACGGAATAGATAACTGCTGCCGATGCCACTCTTCAAATATCGTCTCTCTCTCATGTCAGCAACCTGCTGGCGGACCTTCTCACCCACGTATTCGATGATCATATCATTTGCCGAAATGTTCTCTTCTGCATATAGTCCCCAATTGTGGATTGCAGATCGAGCGAAACGAACAGGTTTCTTTCGCTTCTTCAGCTGATTGAAACGAAGAACATCACCGTCGCCGCTTTGAGTCGGGAGTGCTTGTTTTTGTGCGTTTATATCTGCGATGAGTCGGCGATTGTTGACTCTTGTTGATCTGGATGTGGATTTAGACATCGTCTTGGCTGCCGCGATTCTCGCGGCTTCGACAGCAACACTATGAGGGTCGTTTTTCGCTTTTGCCTCTCGCTCTTCGCGCGCCCGTTGAACCTTGATGCGGTGCGGTAAATATTTCGACTTTTCCGACTCCAGAATCCTCTTCCTTCCCTCGGTTCTTGCAGCTCCCGTGATGTTTGAGACATAGTAGCCAAGGATACTGGTTGCTTCGCGCACAGGTCCTACCTCTCCTGGGCGATTCAGGGCTTTGATTTCTTTTTGTCTCCATGCCCAAGCAGAGAGACTTCCAACGTTAGACACTGGTAAACCTTCCAGCACGTCACGGAGAAAATGTAAATCCTCCCCATCCTTAATCAGATTCTGCCATCCGTCGAGATCTAGCACGATAGCTTCGTCATCCTCGACCGTTGGGCGGGGCTCGTCATTGGAAACCTTCCATCCGATCTCAGTCCTTGGCACTTCTTCCTGACCTTCGGTGTCATCTAGGGCAATGGGAGCGAAGATACAAGCATGATCATCCTCCTGAGTTTCAGACTCAACAGCTAGTCGAGACCGCAAAAGCTTCGCAGAATCGACTGCCCGCTTCGAGATTTCGCTAATGTGCCCACTATCTGAATCTTTGTCACTGGCGAGAGGGGAATTCTCATCCGCAACATGCTTCTCAACGACCTCCGAGTCGATGTGGTCCATGTGCAATCGTCCCTCACTGAGACCTGCGACTTGATCGACTCCAAAGAGGTCATCGTCTTCTTTCTTTCTCTTTCGCGCAATGACCTTGTCGTTTTCTCTTTTTCGCTTGCGAGATGCTGGGGAGAGTTTGTGCTGTTCAGGGTACGAAGCATCGTTCGAGGCATCATTGAGCGATTCGACCAAGATATCGACATTTTCTTTTCGAGGTGAACCGTACAGATGTTCGTCATTGCCGACTTTGTGCTCGGTAGATACACCGTAGGCCTCCGGAGCAGATTCATCAACATCCTCTGAATCCGAACACTCTGAGCTCAGTCGACTTGGAGCACGACTGTCCGGATCATCGGTGTCTCTCGTGAACGGCGTCCTCTGCTCATCATCTGAATCATCCACGTGGTGTAATTGTTGTAGACGGTGATAAAGAGGTCGGACCTCTTTCCTCCGCAAAGGCTGTTTGCGCCTCTCGTCCAAGAAAGCAGCGTCTGTGTGGTTGAGGCGGTGAGCTTTCCTTATACGGGGAAGCGCAAGGATACTCAAATTTGAGGGTCCGAATGGGTGACGGGCTGTGGACAGGTCTGAACGTGAATCTGGTGTTCCAGCCGGGCTATTTATGCCAATTTGAAACAGAGGTCTCTTTGCCCCTTCCGGATCACGGATTCCCAGTTGTCTTCTCTTTGCTGCATGTCGATCTGGGTCAAGGTAGTCATACAAAGTTGGTGCAGCAATCCGAGACTTCACGTCTTCGAGCAGTTTGTCCTTCAGGTCCCGAACTATGATGGCTACCACTTCCTTGCAGGGATCCAAATCGCTTGCTCTTTGGTTTTTCTCTTCCTCGATGTCCAATTCAGCTTCTCTCTTGACTCTGTCCAATCTGGCTCGTTCTCGCTGTTCTGCCTGCAATCGTTGTGGACTGGGGCTGCGCTCATAGCCTGGGTTTCCATAGGGTTGACTCTCCATATTCATGATGTAAGTAAACAACGGTTTCATGTGGCACATCTTGTAGCAACGTTCTGTTTCTTCTTCGCCTCTCCTGGAATTCTCGAAAATGATGTAATACCCTGTCTTATCACATCGAATATCTTTCCAATCGAATACTTTCAACCTTTTTTTCAGGTGAGGAACCGTTGTACTAAGGACCGGAACATAGCAATGCGCAATGAAGATATATGGGTCTCGCTTGATCTGACTCAAAATGGGGATTTCCTCGACCAACGACGGCACAACTGACTTGAAGAAGCTAGCCCTCGGTCCTTCAGGAATCACGGCCATCACCCGTGTCAAAGACCTTCCCGATGGGCCTTTTGGCGCTGTCGGGGGGGGCTCATTGTTATTGACGGAGGGGCCGGCCTTTGTATCTTCTGCAACGGAAAGACAGTTCTTGTATCCCATCCTTTGGGAGTCAATCGCTCTTGACACTATCTTCTCCGAGACAACGCCGTCCCGGTCTAATTCAACTCGAATTCTCCGGGTTCCGATACGCTGTTCCTTCTTGCACTCGCAGTACGCTCGTCTTGCGGCATTTATTGCGAGTAGTGGGCCGCCTCCTCGAAATGAGACACTGTCTTTATACTTGACGGAGCAAATCCCGAGAAACCTGCCGGTGATTGGATCAGTACGATTATTTATCTCCGCGATGTCTCCGAAGCTGGAAAATAGAGCATTAATTGGCGCGATTGGGGTCAAAGGGTCAAACCCAGTGACCACTATCTGGACCGGAGGCCCAGGCCCGATTGTTGTAGAGGCATCGTACACCCATTGTCGCAACGTATATGGGGCTGGACGGAATTTCGTTTTCTGCTTGCAGCCGGCACCACGTGCATAATTTACTATGACCAGTCGAGGATCCGGCGGTCTATCATCCTGTCCGTTAGACATGATCTCCACATAGCGCGCCTTTTTGCGTTTGTCTTTTGATGTCCGCTTTTCGTTCTCGGGATCTAAGACTATTTTCCAGCCTCTTAAAGTTCCGGTCGTTCGCCCCTGTGACTCCGGTGTTGGTGGAGTTTGTAGCAAGGCGATGGCTGGCTTTGGTTCAGCGGTCCTAGGATTTTTGGAAAGAACACCAGCCGTTGCCGTTGCCCTGGCTCGACCAGGGCTGGCCTTCTGGGTGGGTGAGGGCTCTGCATTGGTAAGCGGCGTAAGCGTTTCCAAGCGTCCTTCGCTGCCAGTTGTTCCGCCGGGGGGTACTGCGGAAGCGTGAGGCGTGGTAAGACTCTTGCTTGTCGCACTTGAGGATCCATCTGCGGCCGTGTCGGGAAATGCAATTTTCGTTTCCTTGGGTAGATCATTCCCTGAACCTGCGCCTCCCGTGCTCAAACCCGAATCAGAGATATTCTGAGCCTCTGTCAAACACGCGAGTCTTTCGTGGTCGATATCCTCATTTGACTGAATCTTGTTGTGGGTCTTGTCCTTGGTGGCTTTGCGTTTCTGCTGTAGAACTGACGGAGCGGTGGGAAAGAAGTCTGCAAAACCTGCTGAAGTGCGCGACATGATGAGAAATGGCTACCAGCCAGAATCACGATGAATGTGAGTACCAAGCCGCATCCTTGATATTGGTCCCGTGTTCAAAGGGCATGTATTGCCAGGAAACTCTCCTGGAACCAAAGGCGGCAACGAGAGGAGTCAAATTGACAAACCTTGGGAAGAGCGGACTATGATGAGATGGAAAATGACTTGGGCGCTGGAAGTGAGAGATGGCGTAGAATAAGTCCGTATGGAATACAATAATGGCCGAGAAAAAAAAAAGTGGGTGGCACGCTGAAAGGCCTGAAAGAAGGTAGGTAGGATATTTTACTCAAGTCACAGATAAAATGATGTACTGTACCCATACCGACGCGACGACCTTGGCAACGCGCCGGGTAAGATTAACGACAGAAGCGGCGGGGTGTAAGTACTCCGTAAGTTAGGGAGAAAGGTACGCAAGTACAGTAACTATCAGTTACATACAAACAACAATAACTTACATAGTGTCAACCGCTGCAATTTTTCTCCCTCTATCGCTTTACTGATGATCATCCTCTTAAGATCAGCGCACGACTCTCCTCAATATCTTGTTTCTGTGACCAGTCCATCTGCCATGTAAGAGTGTTAACATTTCCAACAAGCAATCGTACACGTCGCTTGCATTAATAAGGTACTCCATTGTGCAAGAGCTCATACCTACCGCGATTTTTGATAGATGGCAGGGCACGCTGCACTCAAGCAGAGATTTCCCCTTTGATGAGTAGGGGAGAATATAATCTGCTGAGGACTGTAAAGAATATCCAAACTAGTATTGTTTGTAATATGTTTCTCAAAGGGCATAGTCAATATTCTGATACATCCGACTAGTGAAGCTTTGTGTGGTTATGCCCCGATCATTGTAGATGAGTGCTCAGACGACACCCCTGAGGCTTATTTTGTAAAAGCAGTGGACTTGTTACCAGTTCAAGATAATGCTCGTGCAGGTAGGGTAGTCTCAGGCACAATGAACCCAGGTTGGGTAGGTAGTGTTGGAGATACCGGATAGCTGATGTATAATATGCTAATATTGACACGGAGTATTATTGAAATTTTATATTTCGGTATGCCGTTGGCACACACCTTGCCATCTGCATCTATATCGGTTAGGTTGGAAGTTCACAGTACATTCTAAGAGCAGATAGTCTGTATATGAAATTAGGATGCTATCATAGTCCTTAGTACGGAAGACACAGTTTCGTCAGCAGAATGAATCGAAGACAAGCGAGTCAAATACAATATACTAGCTGGGTTTCTAATGTCTGCGAAGCCGACCGATACGCTGCGAAATATGACCTCCCCCTCCCCCACTAATCCTTCGATCTGACATTGTGACCCGCCATTATCAGAGGGGTCTTCATCCCTGTAAATGTCTAGTTACTTAGCTATTTTAAGATAAAAAAAAAAAACTCAACTGTCAGTGCCTAGTCAAGCGCATCGGCATTAAGCCAATATCAATTTATTCGCAAGCCCAAGTTTATGCCGCGTATGCAGTATCAAGGATAAAACATGCCTCCTGTTGTCCCCAGCATCATAAACCCACAGTCATAGTCTTCTGCCCTGTATCAGGGATGCGATGCTGAGGTGTGTCCGCCCCGCGAAAACCTGGTACCGTATGATAGTCTGAGATATGATGAAAGGGCATGGTGTGAATCCGATATTGATTACCGCTGTTGGACGCAATCGACATGTGATGCTTGCCAGCACCTTTAGGGCAATTGTTTTATGGAGCTATCTCATCATTAGAGGTGGAAGAGAAGGGAAGGATTGGCCTACTCTCCCCTGGCCAGCTAAATTACAACTCAGTGAAATAACTTAAATTGCTAGAAAAACCACAATTATTAGATGACATGATTCGCTTGAGGAACCCAACTTACAAAGATGCTCTTCATACTTATATCCAGTAATCTAAGCCATGGTTTCTAGGTTTTGGCCTTTAATCACTAAGTGAATCTCTTAGCAGGTTGCAGTTTAGCTGGCCAGGGAGGGTACTATTTACCACCGTGTAGGTTTAGCGCAGTTGAGTCTCCACCAGTCCGACATATACTAAATGTTCAGCTATGTAGTGACCGTGATCGGTGGCTCTGAGCTAACTCGGCATTTGACCAACCATGGAGCCCCAGTCAAACTTCAGCTGCGGTGATTTGGAAAGGCGATATACGTTATACATAGGTTTCCGACATAGAATGGTTTATAGACAGCCGATGGAGTCTCTTTATCCTTTCAGAGCCTTGTACCGTCACAGAAACAGAAAGGACCCTCTGGTCGGCCCACCAGTGCATCGCCTTGTGCTGTGCCGCCGACAATCCGGTCAACTTCAAATGACTACAGACTTACTCCTACCTCGTTGCGCTGACTTTAAAAGCAGAATAACTTATCACGGCTCAATAATGAAATTACGCCAAAGGGGCTGGATTGAAGCACATGTCTCCGTAGCCGGACAGTAAAGGGCATCATCCAATTCTTTGTTTAGCAGAACACTAACGAATGACCATCTTCTGACAAGCAAGAGATGGCAGAGCCAAGTCTTGGACAGGGACAGTGCGTGTATTAAAGAAAACTAATAAAGATATTCGTCTAGAGGCAACACTTTACGGAGTAGGAGTCAGGCATATAAGTCTTAGAATCCACAATGATATGCGTGAATCCGGCCTGCCCTACATGAGTACTAACCATTTGTGTAGAAAGTACTCCGTACAAGGTAGCTTACCGGTACTCCAGGTATGACTGCTAGACTAGGGGAAAAGGAAAGGGGGAGGTGCGAGGTGGATCCCGGATGTCTTGGCCAACGGAGTTTCAGCATACCGCGGCTACATCTCGAGTATCGGTACGTATAGATCAACTACTCCATACTAGCAGTTGGCAAAGGTAGAAGAAACTTCGAATCGGAGACCATGCCTTATTGTGGCCGCCGGGGACACCCCTTCCCCTTTTCTCCATTTGAGGCTTGTAAAAGCCTATCAAGCCTTCGTTTTGGTGGCAAAGACCCTTATGCTTTTGAATTGCACTACTATTTCAGGGGCTGCATTTCTGTACATAGTGAACAGAAGACTTTGCATAGAGCCAAAATAGGTATCCCCCAAGAGACTCAGGCTCAGCTTAGCCAAGCAATCATACAATTGTCCACCTCTTGGTGTGGTGAATTTGGCCTTTATTGAATTGGAAGGGCGGAATAAGTTAACTTACGAGGTTTTAGTCAGATGGTAAGCTAGCGACTTCACCTACCACGGCACAAATCGGCACTAAGACGCCAGTGGCCTATTATTAGAAAGCTATGTTTAGAGGACTGTGGCGGCGTGGCCTCGAAATAATCCAGTACTTGAAACTGTATGATGAGCTTTTAGCTGTACAGTACAGTACTACTGCCGATTGAACTGCTTCTATACATGATTCTCCAACCATAGCCATGGGGTCGAAATTCTGACCTGCTCAGTTTAGTAGATGAGAAACCGGGTCCACGGTACTTGATTTTCATCACCCTGAACAGTGGAGTAGAGCAACCAGGAGAGAGTACCTGCAATACGTAGTAGATACAGTTAGGTTTCATATCGTTCGGCAATCCTCCATACCCACGGAGTAGTGCCCCGGGGAAGATGCCCAACATTACCCAGCAGTCGTTGTCCAGAGCTGAGTCACGGGTGAAACATACCAATAGACCGTGTGAGGCGCAGAGTGGGCTTATTGGCTGCCACCTCATTTGATAAATGGTTGTGCCCTGGAGTGCCTGTAGCAGCTTCCCTGGTCTGTGTGCTAATTGTGGGTCAATCTTACCACATAAAACATAACAGCTCCCCCTCCTTTCCGACCTTCATTGTTTGTTGCTCCCCATCCATTACTACTAATACCCTGCCAATTCTACCTACTCTTTTTATCCCCCACCTTTCCAAATCTCCCTTCCCCCCTACCCTGATCATAGCCGTCTTTCCTTCTAACAAGATCCTGATTCTATCTCAACCGAAAGATACTGATAGTATGTATGTCAGAAGCAATCTGAAACATCCCCCCGCACGCCCCTGTCTGTCGCTTGCGCCTCAGAGAATCACCGTTCGGTCTAACATGCTCTCCCACAGTTGGCATTCATCGACGAAACATTGACCAACGCCTGAGTCGAGTGCATCTCCAACCGAAAGACAACATCGCCTAGATCTTCATCACGTTCTGTTTGGACTCCAACCATGTGGTATGTTCTGCTTCCCTGACAGTGCGGGCCGAGCTGCTCTGACCTGAATGTACTGCTTAGTGGCATTTTCGGATACATTAATTATCTCGTTGAGAGGGACCGTAAATACATCCTTGATACTCTGCTCAACGGTTATTTTCCCTGTACCCGCTGGATCTAGTCTCGTGTCATCTAACGCTGCGTAGGTCTATCGAGACTGGAATACCGCGGATACGACTCTGCGGGACTTGCGATCGATGGCGACAAGAAGAATGAAGTCTGTGCCTTCAAAGAGGTTGGCAAGGTTGCAAAGTTGAAAGAGCTTATCGAAGAATCGAAACCCGACCTTACCAAGACCTTTGAATCTCATGCTGGTATCTCCCATACACGCTGGGCCACCCACGGAACACCATCTCGTCAGAACTGCCACCCACATAGGTATGTCAAATGTCTCTGGCTGCTTTCTGGTTCTCTGGCTAAAGCATACGACTGTTCTTCCGGGTGCATAGGTCCGACTTGAACTGGGAGTTCGCTGTGGTTCACAATGGTATCATCACCAACTACAAGGAGCTTAAAGCTCTACTGGAGAGCAAAGGCTTCCGGTTTGAAACGGAGACAGACACTGAGTGTATCGCCAAGCTCACGAAATATCTTTACGACCAACAGCCAGACATTGAGTTTACAGTACTGGCCAAGGCTGTTGTTAAGGAGCTTGAGGGTGCCTTTGGTCTTCTCATCAAATCCGTGCACTACCCTCATGAAGTGATTGCTGCCCGTAAAGGGTCTCCCTTGGTCATCGGTGTCCGTACATCCAAGAAAATGAAGGTTGATTTCGTGGACGTCGAGTTCTCCGAAGACGGTGCCCTTCCGGCTGAGCAGGCTTCTCAGAATGTAGCCATCAAAAAGTCCGCCACTGGGCTCCTCGCTCCTCCTGACAAGTCCCTCCTGCACCGTTCCCAGTCTCGTGCTTTCCTGTCTGATGATGGGGTCCCCCAGCCGGCAGAATTTTTCCTGTCTTCCGACCCATCGGCAATTGTCGAACATACGAAGAAGGTTCTTTACCTTGAAGATGATGATATAGCTCATATCCACGAGGGCCAGCTCAACATTCACCGGCTGACCAAAGATGATGGAACCTCCAATGTCCGCGCCATTCAGACAATCGAACTCGAGTTGCAGGAAATCATGAAAGGAAAATTCGACCACTTCATGCAAAAGGAGATTTTTGAGCAACCAGAATCTGTGGTCAACACCATGAGAGGCCGACTGGATGTTGCGAATAAACAAGTCACGCTCGGCGGGCTTCGACAGTACATTTCTACCATTCGGCGGTGCAGAAGAATCATTTTCGTTGCTTGCGGAACGAGCTACCATTCGTGTATGGCTGTGCGTGGAGTTTTTGAAGAGCTTACTGAGATTCCTATCTCCGTTGAGCTTGCCTCCGATTTCCTAGACAGACAGGCGCCTATTTTCCGAGATGACACGTGTGTCTTTGTTTCCCAATCTGGAGAGACTGCAGATTCACTTATGGCACTTCGGTATTGTCTTGAAAGAGGTGCCTTGACTGTCGGTATTGTCAATGTTGTGGGTTCCTCTATCTCACTCTTGACCCATTGCGGTGTTCACATCAATGCGGGTCCCGAGATTGGCGTTGCTTCCACCAAGGCTTATACCTCACAATTCGTGGCCATGGTCATGTTTGCACTTTCATTGAGCGAAGACCGCGCTTCCAAGCAGAAGAGACGCGAGGAGATTATGGAGGGACTTTCCAAGATCTCCGACCAATTCAGAGAGATCCTGAAACTTAACGAGCCCATCAAACAAATGTGCGAAAAGTTTTTCAAGGACCAGAAGAGCTTGCTTCTGCTTGGTAGAGGTGGCCAATTTCCTACGGCCCTTGAAGGTATGCCTTGTGACTCTGGGAATCGCCATATGGTGCTAACTAATTTTTCTCAGGTGCGCTTAAAATCAAGGAAATCTCTTACCTCCACTGCGAAGCTGTCATGTCGGGTGAATTGAAGCACGGTGTCCTTGCTTTAGTCGACGAGAACCTGCCAATTATCATGATTCTCACCAGAGACAACATCTTCATCAAGTCTTTGAATGCTTATCAGCAAGGTAAGTACAACCGCTTTTCCGCACCCGAAATTATCATTCTTTGGCATCGACCCATGAAGGATGAATGACTGACCATATGATAGTTATCGCCCGTGGAGGTCGCCCCATCGTCATCTGCAACCACGATGATCCGGAATTCTCTTCGGCTCAGACGGAGAAGATCGAAGTCCCTAAGACAGTCGACTGTCTCCAAGGGCTTATCAATGTCATCCCGCTTCAACTAATCGCTTATTGGCTTGCGGTCACAGAGGGTTTGAACGTTGATTTCCCTCGGAACCTGGCCAAATCGGTGACCGTCGAGTAATTTGACAATGTGGCTTTACCAGCGCAGCAGATTATTTGGGCCGTTTTATTCTGTTTCCTACCATAGCCTTCATACAAATGACTCTAAATTTCTCTCACGACAAAAAATGCGAGCGCTGAAATGAAGTATTCGTCTATCTTCGAGAATGATCATTTTTGCAAGCCAATAGTCTACCGTAGCTTTCCTTTCAACATATGCGAGCAATGGCCTCATTTCCAGTAAAAGGGCCCTCTGGATTAGCCAGGATTGCTTGATACACGTATATCAAAGCTTTGCAAACCTAGTAACACTATGGAGGAGTGGCTTAGCGGGGCCGGTTCGGACCCCACTTCCGGATTCCAACCGCAAACGGCCAACTGCCAGTTTCGCTATAAGCTCAACACCTCGTACCGATAGTCTCAAAAATCCAACAGAGTAACCAGATTACAATTCTCAGCTCAACGCAAACATGACTTCAATCAAAGGTCCAGGAGCCGCGCAGGCACACAACGGTGAGGAATGCCCCACTTCAGCATTTTGCACATGCCCTGTCGCTTGATACTGATCCCTGTAGGCTCGGGTCTCAGAGTTGCAATCGTTCACGCGCGGTGGAACATGGAGATAATCGGCCCTCTTGTTGACGGGGCCAAACGAAGCCTCCTATCAGCCGGAGTTCTGGAAGAGAATATATCACTGCATACAGTTCCAGGCAGCTACGAGTTGCCCTATGCCGCCCAGCGGTAAGCGAGCGCTATGGAGCCAACTGTTTCTTCGGTAGTAGTTCCCCTAACGCTGTACTCCTAGGATATATGCCGCCTCGCAGATTCAAGCTGCTAGAAGCTCGGCTTCTGCTCAGGCCATCAGCGCCACGGACTTGCTTTCTTCTTCGTCTGCAGACCTTGCAAACCAATCTACTCAACCGCCATCTACCGATACGCCCCAGCCATTCGATGCCATAATAGCGATAGGTGTTTTGATCAAAGGGGAAACCATGCATTTCGAATACATTGCCGATGCTGTGACTCACGGATTGATGCGCGTCCAGCTGGAGACGGGCGTGCCTGTCATCTTTGGTGTACTTACTGTACTGAACGAGGAACAGGGACTTGAAAGAGCCGGTTTGGGTAAAAAGGGCATGCATAACCATGGCGAAGATTGGGGCAATGCGGCCGTGGAACTCGGAGCAAAGAGAAGAGACTGGGCTGAAGGCAGAAACGTTTAGGGTGGATCAAGCGGTTACTCAAGGCATATGGCCCGAATTGGAAAGAACCTCTGCTTGTTCTTGATCGAGGGTAACAATCGATGAAAATCTTAGCAGATGAAGCCTTATTTATTAAATCGATGTCAAGGAAGGGCCATCCCATTTATCATGATAGGTTGAGATATCGAAGACAAGCCGTCAATCCTCGCGGAGCTCACCTACTCATCTATTGATTCATAACCTGAAAACTTCACTCTTGCATGCGTTCGTTGTCGACAGCGTCGCCCTTCGCCGCATCATCTTCCTCGTCATCTCCCTCGAGAGCCGCTTTTGCCGCCCGCTCGGCTTCTTCAAGCAGCTCCTTGGGTACCTCTTCGTGTCTACCTTGCGTTGGACCATCTAGTGAACTAATCCAAGTCATTTCGAGTTCAAAGTCCTTGTCCTTACTGTCTTCATGGGCGACGTAGATAATGCGAGCTGCCTCTTTCACGCCATCAATGAGACTGAGATTGCCGGCACTTAGGTCCAGTTTCTCCAGCTCAGCCTTCGCCGCCTGTCTGCCCTTTCCAGTTGCGGCGCCATAGTAACCCTTTCACATTATTAGCATGTATCATCAACTCAAAGCCATGGAAGCCAGGCGGTCTTACCCAATACAAACCACTCGGCTCGATCATGTATAAGCCTGGACCTCCGGCTTTTGCACCCTCAACCTTGCCGCCAGAACCTGCTTTGGGTCCGCTTCCAACTTGACCGTCAACCGCAAGCTCCGCTTCAGAGTCCCAGCCTCCGACAATAGCAGTTACTCCAAAGGGCCTCACGCTCGAATAGAGTGTGTAAGCCTGTACGTAGCTGCCGAGCCGGTTCGATAGAGCGGAGACTGGTATAGGTCCCTTGTACACATTTCTCCACGAGGAAGCCTCGTCTCGAGCTCGCGAGACGAAATGCCGACCGTCGGGAACTAATCCCGCCGAGACCTACATCAACACCAGCGCACATGTTAGCATAAGTATGTTCATCAATGAGAGAGCTACGCCCATATCTAGGCGCGAGGTGAAGATCATACAATGCCGACATGGCGATCAACTGTTGCTATCCTCTTATTCGCACCAGGCTTCAGAAGCTTGCTGCTGATGATCTTCTCCACCGCCAGTACGACACCATCTTTGCATCTGATGCCAACGGCTGTTCCCCCATTCTCAACGGCTTTGACCGCATATTCCACCTATAGGAGAGAGTCAATAACTTGCATGGGCCCCCGAATCACTTGCACAGGTCTCTACCTGAAAGTTACGGCCATCGGGCGAAAACACCGAGTTTGAAAGATCATAACCAGTACCAATAGATGTCTAAATTATGAAAGTGTCAGTATCGTAGGAGCAGGGTTGTCAGGAATGAGCAGACAGCCCAAACGAACCATGGCGATTGTGAACCGTCGCAAAATCGGTGCGAATCTAGATACGAGGATTTGAATTGGGTGTCAGGCACAGGTGGATGGTTGCTGGGTATAGAGTGTTATGAGTCCAGGACAATAAATCTGGAAGGGTGTGAAGAAAGGTATGGTGACTTGAAGCAAGTCGGCTGACGCGCGTAGATCGTTACCTATGCCTATTACACTGGAAGGAGCTGCCTGGCCTTAGCTCAGGTCGCACGGACCACTCGCCGCTTTAGGGGTATAAGAGCCACGTGATATGATATCAGGGGAGATGACGTCCCATCCAAGTGAAGCTGGAAAAGTACAAGGTAGTAAGCAAGTGCCGGAGAGCCATTAACTATTCAGTGTCACAAGGGTGTAGGCAAGAATCTTTACTTTACAGTACCTACCTGTATACTTGTGGTTGTACCATCACCATATTTACTTGTGAACTCCTCGGTAAATTATCTTGGTTTTCTTGTTTCATGTGCCCAACAAACCATGATCAACTGGGCATTGGGCAGCATGTGCTCTCACTGCTTTGTACCCGGTGCCTTATATATGTATCAATCTGGCTGTCTCTCAAAAAGAAGTGACTTTGCTCAAAGGACAATCACGCTCTCTCCTTCCCTCCTACCCACACATGCATGATTGGGGTCTCGCCCAAACCAGTTGCTTGATCTTCATTCACCAGGGCATTCTCGCACTTGACTCTCTTCCCTTGGACCAGTAACTCTGCCATGGAGTCTATGGTTCCTCCTCAGTGTCTCTTCTGCAGTCAGGGGACGAAGAGTTCCGAATCGCTCGCCCCATGTACCGAACTTCCATGCTGTAATCAGGTAGATAGTCCAACACTGCTTCTGACTCAGGTCCTGACCAAAAGGGCTTGTAGTGCCGACTGTCGGCATCCGAAAGTAACATGCAACTCCAACAAGAACTCGCTGCGGTTTTCGAGAAGAGTATGACTCTCAACCAATCAACACACCTTGTCAGCGACCAATCATTGTGCTCTATTTCTCCCGACCCAAAGCTATATACTATTAGTATCGGGCAAAACCCGGCCAGCACTATGAACCTGCACCCCACAGCAATTGACACACTCAGATATCACAACATTGATCCAGCAACACTTTTACCAAGACAATTGAAGCTCTACGAAGGAGCAATGCCGGAACAACGGTCACGCTTAATCCAGATGTGGCAGTTGTCACCGGAGCACCGATACTACAGCGACCAGGGTGAGACTAAGGGCGCCAGGTTGCATGACCACGGTGCGACGAATGAGACTGCCTGCATGTCTGGTCTCTGGAACGCATCGTTTGAGACTCGCACGGTTGATGATCTCGATATGTATGATTTCGATCAGGGAGTTGACTACAGCGCCAGCCCGTATGCCGAGCCATACATGATTACTGGCTATAAGGCTGCCGCTCAAACTAGCAAAGAACTCTCCAACGGAAGAGACGGGAATGTAGCAAGCGAGATCACTACAGGATCGCCATACAGGCTTGCAAATGATCCTGTTTATCGCTCCCAGGGGCAAAGATGGTGGGAGTACGAGCATCGGCATCACTCAAGTACTAGTCTGACATGATCCAGAATATGTATCGACGATTGCTCCTTGGGGGTGTAGATTCATCAGTGCTACAAATCATTGTTCACAATGTATCCGAAATCCCATCGCTGTCACGTCAATTTGCTCGTGCACTCTTCTTTCGGGGCTCCAATACTTTCGGACTGCGCAGTCGGGAGGCCTTCAAGAGAAATGGCAGCGCAGCATAAATATAAAATACCACATATATCACAGTCCTATAACACATAGTCATCAGCCATGGAATCTCTAAGGCAATGTGATGTCGGATAGAATCTGAGCCGTATGATGCCTATGCGAGATTGATGGGGACCAGGAGAAGGAGGTTTTATTTTCCGACTAGTGCCACCCCACTGAACGAATTGGAAATTGGAGTAGAGGTTTATGCACATGCTAGAGCAAATTTATATACTATTTCTCCATCCTGCTGGATCACCTTGATACCTTAACCCAAGGGTTGCCTCATTTTCGTTCAATCCTCCGCCCCTTTCCCACTGGCACACAACTTCTGGCTGCAAGAGTCATGAATAAGATCGTGATCCGAAGGAGAGGAGGAGGGAAAGAAGGAAATAATTTGACGCAACTACCACCACACAAGGAATGGACAGCACCGGAGAATCGAGTTAGCGAGTGACCCAGCGAATACCATGTTCTTGGATCGTAGAGATTGTTGCCGGTTGGTATAACGAAAGCTCCCATGGTCGTGGCAGGAATACCGTCAAGAAATCGCATATGTAGCATAAATCGATCTGATCTCCAGAGAGAAGCGAAGTAATAGCAAGAAAAGAATCGAGAGAGGAAAGAAACGTGTAGATGCCTTCCAGGCCCTGGAAGGGCAGAAGCCGTGGCCGAGGAAACGGCCACTTCGACATGCCACGCTGGGGCACGCTACTCGTCATCGAGTGCTGCCATGGCCTCTGCAAGAGCATCAGCGGAGCGTTTGACCTCATCGACAGCCTCAGCGGCTCGCTTGATCTTCTGGCATGGTTGGCCAGGCAGGTAGCACCATTTCTGCAACTTGGCTGGAGAAGCCTCTGCCATAGCCTCGGCCAAGGCATCAGCTGAGCGTTTGACTTCTCCAGTTACATCAGCCGCACGCTTCATCATGGCACAAGGCTGGCCAGGGAGATAGCACCACTTTTGCACACTGACAGCTTGCACAGTGGTGGCAGCAAGAGTGGCAAGCATCAAGGATAGGAGCTTCATGGCGGCGGTTGAAGGTTGGCAGAGGCAAAAAATGGTATTTTGTTTGATTTGTTTTTGAATGGACAGATATGACAGATTTGCTTGTTTTCTGGCACCGTACAGACCATGGCAGTGCGGAAGGGAGAAGCATCTTATATACGAGTGACTTGCACATAGCGAAAGGTGCTGCCATGATCATTGAATAGGCGTTTCAATAGAATGGTTTCTATTGATTAGATTAGTGGACCCACAAAATATGTTGGCGAAGGCAAAACTGATGGCCCTGTTGGGGACTAGAAGGAAAGAATAGAAAAGGAGCGTCAATCATGGAGACATGAAGAAGAGCCAATGGCATGGACCAGAGTGTTTCTTTTCTGCTGTCAAATAAGTAAGAGGACGGCAGCCTGATATTTTTGGCGGACACATGAATCTGGTACTAGAGAGCATTCGTATGGTAATGGCCAGCCGAGACTTTGAGTATAGTGAAAAATGAGAGTAGCATTGCATGTCGCCTTGTGGTTCTTGAGATCCCTGCCGTTCGCTCGATCAGGGTCTGAATAGAGATGAGGTTCAAAGGTGTGTTAAAGAGAACAAGAAATAATGGGATCAGCCAAACCTTTCCCAATTCAGCCCTCAATAAGTTCAAGTTGATTAAGCTGGAAGAAAAATTCACATTCGAACATCCAGTTATTCAGATCTTAGAGAGATAATGAATGGGATAGATGTACAGTACCACAGACTGCGTCCATTGGTATCCGGTGCAGGAATCTAAACGCGTGGGTCCAAGAAATGATAGCATTTATCAGCGCTGCGGGAGGAACGACACCGGATACTTTGGCAGTCAGCTCTGGAAAACTATGAACTAGGAGACAGTCAAAATCACCTACTTAACACATTCTTGTTGTATTGAGGAGAGATGCTCAATCTAATTACGTAGCCTGTAAGTTAGTTCAAGGTTAGCAGCTCCAGCCAGGCACTAGGCAAGAGATAAGATCGGCCCGTGCTGTTGTCAGGGAAAAAGGAAAAGGTCATGGTGGATGCCGAGACGATCCGCCCGTTTTTTCCGGCGTCTCGTGCATCTCTCCTCCCTCGCCTCGCTCTTTTCTTGCCGTCCTCCGTCTCTTTCTCCTTCCCGTTCTCTTTGCCAAACCAGTGCTTTTCCGCGCCTCTCCTCTCCTTGCCCTTCTTTTTGTTCACCTCTGCTCCGCCAAAATGTTCTCTCTCCGGACAGCGCAGCCTGCGCATGTAAGTCAATGAAGAAAACCCATGAATCTTTGCTTTCTTTCTTCCCTGCATCAGTTGATCAATGAATCCTTTTGCATGCTTGCCTATTGGGCCGCACTTCATTCCCTTCCGACCCAGCACTTTAAACAAAGACTGTGGGAACAGATGGCCCAAAGCCGGCTTTCTCCAAACGGATTTTGTTCTTCTTTCTCTCTTCTGCTACGTTCTCACCTGTGTCACCTGTGAACAAGCGCAATAACTTATCTCTCCCATTTGCCTTGCTACATTCGCCTATTAACGCCTCTATGACAGTCTCTCCTTCGTCGCGTTGCGGTGCCCAACCTTGCCCGCTCCTCTATCCCCGTTAGATGTGTGTCAACTCCTGCTGAGCCTTCGACACGGTCTGTCAACGATTATCTGTGGCTAACCTTCCGCCGCCAGCCTTTGCTAGCGTTCAGTCGGACATTTTCAAGCCGACCAAATATGGCGGCAAGTACACCGTCACACTCATTCCAGGTACTTTGACCCCAATATTTCTCCAAGATCCATCCATCATCGCCGCCTATATTTGGCTCCGGCCATCCTTTTGCTTCGCTCCTCACCACCCTGTGTCGGATACTGACCTGAAATCAACTATTATCACAGGCGACGGAATCGGCGCTGAAGTTGCTGAGTCGGTGAAAACAATTTTCAAGGCCGACAATGTCCCCATTGAGTGGGAGCAAGTGGATGTTAGTGGTGTGGACACCGGCAATAAGCACTCGGAGGAACTCTTCAAGGAGTCCATCGCATCGCTGCGACGGAACAAGCTGGGTCTCAAGGGTATCTTGTTCACTCCCGTTGAGCGCTCCGGTCACCAGTCATTCAACGTTGCTCTTCGTCAGGAGCTCGATATCTTCGCGTCGGTTGTCCTCATTAAGAATATTCCTGGCTACAAGACACGCCACGAGAACGTTGATCTGTGCATCATCCGTGAGAATACTGAGGGTGAATACTCCGGCCTTGAACACCAGTCCGTGCAAGGTGTTGTGGAGTCACTGAAGATTATCACTCGTGCCAAGTCTGAGCGCATCGCCAAGTTCGCCTTTGGTTTCGCTCTTGCCAATAACAGGAAGAAGGTCACCTGCATCCACAAGGCTAACATTATGAAACTTGCGGATGGTCTGTTCCGCAGCACCTTCCACAAGGTTGCTGAGAACTACCCAACTTTGGAGGTCAACGACATGATTGTTGATAACGCCTCCATGCAGGCTGTCTCGCGCCCCCAGCAGTTTGATGTGATGGTCATGCCTAACCTGTACGGTGGTATCCTCTCTAACATTGGTGCTGCCCTCGTTGGTGGTCCTGGTGTGGTTCCTGGCTGCAACATGGGTCGTGACGTCGCTGTGTTTGAGCCCGGATGTCGCCACGTCGGCCTTGATATCAAGGGCAAAGATCAAGCGAACCCCAGCGCCATGATTCTGTCCGGATCTATGCTTCTTCGCCACATTGGTCTAGATGACCACGCGAACAGGATCTCGAAGGCGGTGTATGACGTGATCGGTGAAGGGTAAGTCGTTTTCTCGCTAGTCCCAGAGTCATTGCGGACTTTTGACTAATGCTTCGTTCATCAGTAAAACAAGAACTCGTGACATGGGTGGTCAGGCCACCACCCACGAGTTTACCAGAGCTGTTCTTGACAAAATGGAGGCTGCTTTGTAAAGAGCTTTCTCTTTGAACTTGCTACTATTATGATGATGAGAGCTTGTATAGGCCCGTTCACTGTTAATCTATTCCTTGTCTGGTAGACTATGCTCATTTCTGGTACTGTCGCTATATGTTCTTATCATCCACATGTACACCACCATATTGTCCTGCACAATATAAATCCTTGGACAAGATCGTAGAACAGCACACAGGACGAACGTGACACAAAACAGCGACCCATGAAGGATTCCCAGCTGTCTACTAACCTGCACATTTGAACCCTTAACAGCAATCCGCTAATTTAGAGCTATAATCCACTGGCAGAGTGAACAAATACCCAAACTTATGCGTAAATTCAGGGTCTCGGTTAATTCAGACCGCTCACTTCAAATGAGCTGGTCAAAAGACCGGGAGGAATAATTCCCAACGAAGCAAATTGCACTGCATCACATGCAATGCAAAAGCCAGGCAGATGTTGTTATCCACCCTTTCCGTGCGTCAAGCCGGCTTTGATATGAGCTGCTACTTTGACAGACTCGGTGCAACTAGCCAAGGTGGCTATGCCTTAGTTGATGCCACAATCTGCAGAAAAAATCTGTTTGTAACAATAAAAGGATTGATGTCCTGCGCGGAAAACTCGAGCAGGCCACGTGAAATGCGATCAAAATGCAGGGCGCCGTTTTCTGCCAGTGTATTTCGAATTTGCTTTGACCACCTTACCCTTCCGGGTCATTTGTTCTTTCTTACGCAAAATCCAAGCCTTGTCGCCTTTCCGAGAGGGGAGTACTCGCCCCTTTTCAGTGGCGCTTTTTCTGGCATCAAGGACATCGACATCGCTCATGCCATTCACAACCCCGGTAATGTCACCCTGCAGCCCGCCACCACCAACAGTGAGAACGAGGTACAAC